CTTCTAGGTGCCAAGTAGAAGGGTCCATCAAGACTCAGCTTGTTGATGACCAGTCTCGGCAGCCTATTGGTGAAGCGGCACTTGAAGAAAAGGTGAGCCCATGTTTCTTGCCCCCTCCCACAGAGAGGGCAATGACCACAGTTTTGCCACCCACACTTATCCAATCTATCCGCCATTCAAATCCGGTCTTGTAAAGTAAGCCAGGCAAAAAACTTGGCTTTTCGTGGTGCCCAAGCCTTCCACACCATTTGCTCCACGGGAGAGTTAACCATGCCCAAGAATTGCGCTTTATAAGCGGAGGCGGCTGAGTATTGCCCATTAGTCATGTGCTTCCAGATGATGTCGTCCTCAGAGTGCTCTCAAGATTGACGTCATGTAAAAGCACCCAAAGGGTAAAGAATTCCCTTATGTGGTCGACGGATACCACGGTGTCTGGCCTTATCTTTAAAATTCAAGCATTGTCCTTAATAGCTTCCCGCACCTTTCAGTTTTTTCTCGAGGATGCCTCATAAATGAGTGGTGCAATCTCCTTGGGTTTGCGCCCTAGCAACCATGGGGAGTCCCAGAATGGCGTTCTAGCCCCATTCCCCATAATGATGGTGGTGGAGGCGTAGAAGAAGTCAAGGTCGACCTCGTTGCATGGGTTTTCGGTGCCCACCCACATCTTCCTTGGTTCCTTCCATTCAAACCAAGGACAGTGCAATCTCAGGGCCCGAGCAAATTTGTTAGTGTTCAGCACCCCAAGACCTCCATACTGAATCGGACAGCAAACCATCTCCCAGTTGACCTTACACTTAGCCCTTGTGGTCTTGTCCGAACCGGGCCATAAAAATGCCCGCTCAAGCGTGTTGACATTGTGTAGCGTGCCCGAAGGGACGACAGGCGGTGTGATAAAGTATATCACCTGGGAGGTGGTCACAGACCTGACAAGGGTTGTGCAGCCAATGGTAGTAATGTTTTGGCCCTCCCAAGTAACCAGTTTGTTGGCAACCTTGTCCTCCAAAAATTGTAGGTCCATCTTCTTGAGTTGCCAGATCGAGAGCGGGAGGCCCAGGTATCTCATTGGGAAGGAGGTCCTAGTCGCAGGAAAACTCTACGCGGGAGCAGCGAATGGGCACAACTGAGCTCTTCTGGAAGTTGGTGCAAAGACCGGTCACCTCCCCAAATCCCTTTAGAATTGACGTCAGGTTGCCAACATCTCTCTTGATAGGGGCCATAAACATGGCCGCATCATCCGCGCAGAGGGATGTTCTCACCATGGCCCTCCTACCACGAATCTTGTGGAAGAGCCCTTCCGTGTTGCGAGCTCCAGAATCTGTTGTAGGAGGGTCGATTGCAAGCACAAAGAGGAGAGGCGAAAGTGGTTCACCTTGGCGGAGGCCCTGGTCATGTATGATCGTCGGCCCAGCCACCCCATTCAAAAGGATCCGGGAGGAGGAAGTGTAGAGAAGTGCGGCGATCCAATTCCGAACCTTGCTTGGGAACCCCTTTTGGAGAAGCTCGAGAATAAACTCCCACTTGACCGAATTGAAGGCCTTCCAGATGTCCAACTTGAATAGGAGTGCGGGCGTTTTCCACATGTGCAGCCGTCTCGCAAAATTCCAGACATACATGAAATTATCATGAATACTTCTCCTCTTGATAAAGGCACTCTGGGCGGTGGAAACAAGGACATCCATGTGCGGACTGAGCCGAATGGAGAGTACCTTCGCAATAATCTTAGTGATGGCATGGATGAGGCTAATGGGGCGGTAGTCGGAGACGCCCTCCGCATCCTCCTTCTTGGGCAAAAGGATCACGTTGGCGGAGTTGAGCCAATGAAGGTTTGATGTGTGGAGGGAGTCAAATAGATGAATGACCCTCATGATGTCCACTTTTATAATGTCCCAACATTTATTGAAAACATGCCTGTGAATCCATCCAGCCCGGGTCCCTTGTCGCTAGGCATCTCATCAATGGAATTTCTGACCTCCTCCTCCGTGATGGCCGCCCCCAACTCCTGCAGATCATGCGACACAGTGTTAAGATCGTCCCGATTGAAGTCCTTAGTGCTTGTGTCTCCCCTTCCCATGACCTCAGAGAGTGCTCATGAAGGATTTTCTCCTTCGCCTCATGCTCGGTCACCCAACCATGCTCATGCTTTATCTGATGAATGTGGTTCTTTCGTCTTCTCGCATTTATGCGCCGGTGAAAATTTTTGGTGCTTGCGTCTCCCTCCCTCAGGTTGGCCACTCTGGCACATTGCTTCTTCCGGGCCCTCTCAAGAACCGCCAGGCTTACAACTCGTTTCTTTAGTCTAGCACGCAGGTCCAGCTCTTCAAGGGATAATGGCTGATTTTCTTGAGTCATGCCAAGCTGTAGAATGACCAAGAGGGTCGCGTGGTGGTGGATCTTTGCCTTGAAGAACAGCCTCCTGCTCCATTCGGTGAGACGAGTGGTCGTCTTCTTTATTTTATGGAACAACAGCTGATACGGTTCCGAGTGCTCACAATGCTCATTCCAAGCTTTGAGGACGACATCATTGAATCTAGGCATAAAGGCCCAGAAGTTCTCAAACCTGTTCTAGGCCTCCGAGGCCCCCTCTCATCAGCAAGCAAGAGTGGACAGTGGTCGGTCAGCGATGATGAGAGAGCATGCAAGACGTGGTTGTTGAAGGTTGTGTCCCATTCCGCGTTGCAAAAAAACGAATCAAGTTTGCAGAGGGTAGGGTTCCCTTTCTCATTGCTCCAAGTGAATCTTCAATTCTGCAGATGGATTTCTTTAAGTTCGTGAGCTTGTAGGGCATTCCGGAAGCGGGTGATACGACTCCTATTGATGTTTCTGTTATTTTGTCCCTAGCCCGATAGATTTGGTTGAGATCGCCAGACACGTGCCATGCCACACCCGCCGGCGGCTTCTGACTAGCAAGCTCATCAAAGAAAGCGTCTTTGCGCGCATAATCAGTGGGGCTATAGACCGACGTGAGCTTGAAAATGGTCGGTTCCGAGTGCTCACAATGCTCATTCCAAGCTTTGAGGACGACATCATTGAATCTAGGCATAAAGGCCCAGAAGTTCTCAAACCTGTTCTAGGCCTCCGAGGCCCCCTCTCATCAGCAAGCAAGAGTGGACAGTGGTCGGTCAGCGATGATGAGAGAGCATGCAAGACGTGGTTGTTGAAGGTTGTGTCCCATTCCGCGTTGCAAAAAAACGAATCAAGTTTGCAGAGGGTAGGGTTCCCTTTCTCATTGCTCCAAGTGAATCTTCAATTCTGCAGATGGATTTCTTTAAGTTCGTGAGCTTGTAGGGCATTCCGGAAGCGGGTGATACGACTCCTATTGATGTTTCTGTTATTTTGTCCCTAGCCCGATAGATTTGGTTGAGATCGCCAGACACGTGCCATGCCACACCCGCCGGCGGCTTCTGACTAGCAAGCTCATCAAAGAAAGCGTCTTTGCGCGCATAATCAGTGGGGCTATAGACCGACGTGAGCTTGAAAATGAACTCCGTTTCTCTAATCCGCACCATTGCCGAAATACAGTAGTTGGCGACTTTCACCAAATTTGAGCGATGATGATGAGTACAAAAAATGGAAGAAAAAACAAACAAGGTCATAAGAACCTTGGAGACCTTCCCTCACAGACCACAAGATTGTAGTAGTAGATAAGTACAAGTGTAGAACAAGTTGGCAAGACGTCACCTCACAAACATAGGGCAAATAATAGATGCTCACAAACAGAAGCTATCAACATCCACAGGCAAAAATGTACCACAAAAGTAACTTACAAAAACAGATGCCGCGCAAGCAAGAACAACCAGAATCGGTGGTGCTGTTAAATCCGGCCTAATTCTGTACAGAGAAAACAAGTGCAGAGCCAATGGACATTTACAAATGCTCGGCAACTAAGGGTGGTTAAGCAAGACAATTGGCTGGTGGATGAATATTGCCATGCCCTGGTGGATCCAAACAATAGATCAGATCACCCCCTTCGAGCTGACAATGGTAATATTGAAGGAATTGGATGTTTATCAGATCAGGCACTTCCCCCAATTGCTGGCTGTTAAGGTAAAAAGGAAATATAATCAGTTCTGTTGCCTTCAAATCATACATTTGAGATCCCAAATCTGGTGAAGTACTCCCTCTGTTCACAAATATAAGATATTCTAACTCTTTTTTTTTAATTGGATGTATATAGACACATTTCAGTGTGTTTGTTCACTCATTTCAGTCCGTATGTAGTCTATATTGAAATATCCAAAACATCTTATATTTGTGAATGGAGGGAATAGAACTTATCAGATATTTTATTCAGGATATGTTATCGTAGGTAGAGACTACTGTATTTTGCATCTTGGGTAGTTCACATGTAGTAGCTATTTGATGGTCACAGATCAATTGATTAAGATATGCATATTGGAAGGGTTAATGCAGTCCTGGAGTACTAATCATTCTGATCATTGGGTGTTTGTGGGAATAGCTCAACACTAACCTACTTATCACTTCCATTCTCATCAACTAAACAAACCTACCGAGTAGGTCGCCATGATATCTACTGTGAAGTTTCCCTAGGCCTATGGTTATTCAAGACCTAACTGGTTGGGTAGCTAAAGTGTACTGTAATAGTTGATGGAATCACAGAATGAACACATTGAATAGCCCCTTCTTGATCAAAGATTGAATGAAGGAATATCCTCAATTACATTATCAATTCACTATCGCTCTCTGTGGTAGTGTTATCCACAAATTTTCCTCATGAACATACAGAAGCAACAACGAGATGGCATTAGAATTTAGAATTTTTTTAATGTACCGGCCCACTGTGCAGCTATTGTATGTTCAATAAAAAAGAGCGGATGACTGGATTATGCAAGAATTAACAGAACCAGCAAACCACAGCAGAACTTGTGCATCAGAGGCATTATCATCGAATTTTCTTCCGTTTTGTAAATCATGGTTTCTACTTTTCTATTACTCTAGTCAGTAATGATGATGCAATGATAAAACATTCTATCTCCACAGGCTCAACTTGTAGTACATAGTAGAATATGAATCCAATCTGAAGCTAGTTGATTTACCTTATTTGGGATTTGTCTTTTCACACGCGGTGTGCCTGTTTCATTTGGCTTCAAGATTTGAAATGAGCACATTAGATTTTCATCTATGCTCAACAGAGCACCTACATTATCGAATTCCCCACAATAATTTGGAGCTGAGAAGATTGTGACTAATCTCCGCTGTGCAAAGAACTCGTAACCATCTTCTACCACCTAAGGGCATTCATGGTACATGCAGTTACTGTAAGTAAAGCTCGAGAATAACAATAATCCAGAAAATAACATAAGTTCGACTAAGTGTTCACAAACCTGATGGGCTCGGCAGATAAGATCAAGATCATTTTTTTCCAAAAACTCTATAAGCATATCTGCACCAAACGTACATGAAACACCTCTGTCACTCTCACCCCACCCTTCTCCGTCAGGGCTAGGATCAGACCAAAGCAAATCACACAGGAGACCATAATCAGGAATCTCAGCCGGCCTCTCAATATCCTTTATTTGGTCCAGGTTAGTCAGTTCAGGTGAAAGGCCACCATGCATGCACAGTATCTTGTCGTCAATGAGTGCTGCAATAGGCAGGCAGTTGAAGCAATCAGAGAATATCTTCCACAGTCGAACATTGAACCTCCTCTTGCATTCATCATAGAAACCATAAACTCTGTTGATTTTTGCATCTTCATGGTTCCCCCTTAACAGGAAAACCTTGTCAGGGTACCTTATTTTGTATGCCAGCAGTAAGCATATAGTTTCCAAGCTCTGTTTGCCTCTATCTACGTAGTCTCCGAGGAATACATAGGTTGAGGTTGGAGGATAACCACCCAAATCAAACAACCTTAGAAGATCAACAAACTGACCATGGATATCACCTGAAGGTATCATCATATGAGGTAAGACTAGAGTTTTCTGTGAAGATGTGTAAAATAAATTACAATAATAATGAAAAGAATATTAAGAAGCTCTAAACTTTATGCAGAAAGAAATCTTTATCACACAAACGAGATTAACTCAAAGGGATTGCACTGACAAAGCTCCTTAGCAGATAATCTGTACAATGGTAGAGCTATAAAGGTTGTACATGCCAGTATTCACTATCATGTAATTTTCAAATTTGCTCAAATTTATGCCGGTGGTTGATTGTTGCTAGGATGAAATATGGCAGGTGAATCAAAGATGTCAGGAGATGTAGAGGTTATTAGGTTAACATGTGGAATGATTTGATATACAGGTTGGAGGATGTGTAATTCAGGATGTTATTAGCTCGGGACTAGAGAAAATAATAATGAGATTTCTACAAGATCCTTCTACAGAAAGTGAGCAGTTACCAGTTACAGAATGGTCAGTGTGTGGTCTGCAAAAACCAAATAAAGAACAAGATTTTTCCACTGGCAAATCTTCGATAATAAACTTCACTTGGATGTTTGGTTGAAAGAGGAACTGCCAAGGGGAGGATTATCGTGTTGTGTCAGGGATCAAAACCATATCGATTTTGTTCGCCCAATTGTTTGTTTCGTCTCAGTCTCAGGAAGATTTCACTGTTTGATGGCTTGGGGAGGGAGGATTGTACACAGACAAATTGATGGTTATTTATCCTTCAGGCTGTGGCCTGTGGGCTACATGCTAGGCATTATGGGAAGTTTGAAATGAAATGAATTGATGGTAGGGTTTCGGGCAGTATACAGACCATTTGTATAAAATTCTGGGTATTATGCAGCATCCAGAAGCCCTGCTAGGGTGGAGGAGAGTGAAGAAGGCAATTGACATATTGAAGGTGAAGAGAAGTCTTCTGCAAACCTGTTGCCAAGTTTATTATGATATATTGCAGCCCAGGGTTCACAATTTGCCTACCCTTTTTGTGTTATTTTACTTTGAAAATTTGGTAGGGTTGTTATGCATGATGTTACTTTGTGCTTCCTGACACCAGAGGGACGTACGGACTACAATACCATACCGACCAAACCCAGTGTAGAACCAACAACAGCACTATTGGTCACAATGTCACCAGCTCATGCAAACAAATTTAATGGACAATGAGCAGCAACTTGACCATCCACCACAGCTCCCAATATGGCCAACAATCCCACCTCAGCTCAGTAACCAAGCAACTCCATCATGAATTCACATGTTAAAAAATGAGCAAAACAAATGGCGCCAGCAGCCAAAGTGAGAGTACCCTAATGATGCAAGCGGGCTGCGGGCAGGGCAACCCGCGAAGCACGTTCATAAGTAATACACAAAATCAACTTATTGTAATTTCTCCTTTGACATTCACATAAGGTTGACTTTTAATGTACTTATATGCGGGCTTTCACGGTTATCACTTATCACTTGCATCCCTAGGAGTACCTACGACTAAGCATTAATGGTTAAGGCCTAGGAAGCTCAAATCAGGCATTATCATCATAGTACAAAGAGATCATCATCCCTTGTAAGGGCACCCATCCTTTTCTTATCCCTAAATTCCACCAGACGCCACCAAGGTGTACCAAATCCCTTCATGATTCACAGATTCTCCACATCGCCTAAAAATTTACCAACAAACCTATTCGTTCTATGAAAGAAACACCATCAAAATCAAAACTACATATACTAGTAATTTGGAAAGGAGCAAAAACAAAGCTAGAAACGATTTGTTTAATAATCACCGCAGATCTTGACGGGGGCCTGGATGCGGAGGAGGTTGGGCTGGGACAGGAAAACCCGCTTGGCGTCGACGCAGAGCTGCCGGATCTCCGCCTCGGACAGCTGCACCTGCCGCCCGCCGCGGCCGCCCTCGACCAATCGCCGCACCACCTCGTCCAGCGCCGCGCCCTCCATGGCCCCCATGGAGGCCCGTGTCATCATCATCTTCCCTCCTTCTTCTCCCGCGGCCGCGTCCCTCTCTCTCTCTCCGGCGACGGCGAGGGGCGGGGGAGAGAGAGGAAGGGTGGGGGGATTGGAAATGGGATGGCCTGGGAATAGTTGCGTTTGTGACGACCACGAGCTTAATTAATCGTTTCGGGTGTTCAAAGACGCGTGAACACGCATCCGCCGTTGGTTTGTAGATGGACGGCCCGTGGAACATGTCTCGGTCTTCCTCCTGTTGCTGCTCTTTCGTCGTTTTGCTGTTGCCCTCGTCGGTCATGGAATTGGATTATTATTTTATTCTATTTTAATCTTCCATCATACAATGAACACAAGAAACAATACTCCCTCGGTCATACTCCCTCCGTTTCAAAATAGATGACTCAACTATGTACCAATTTTAGAACAGAGGGAGTATATTGTAAGACGTTTTCTGATACTATATTATTGAACGGAGGAGTAAAAATTACATCAAGATTCATAGACTATCTAGTGATGATTACAAGCACTGAAACTAGTTGAAGGCGTGCCGCCGTCATTGTCCCTCCCTCACTGGAGTCGGGCAAAACTTATTGTAATTGACATCGGAAAGTCCTCATAAAAAGCCCCCATAAAACCAGCGCATCAGAACAGCACCCGCCGCCGATGAAAAGTAGTGGAAAGATCACACGAATGTAGATGAACGATGAACAGATCCGAGCAAATTCATCAAAGATAGATCCGTTGAAGATACACCTTTGCACGCCCACGAAGGATGCTAAATGTACCACCGAAACGGGGACTAAATGGGAGAATCTTATTTCATCATTGGGGGTCACCGCCATCTCGCCTTTCTGAACGCAAACCCTAACAAAACTCAAAAACACATCTAAAAACTGAACCCTCCCACCGACAAGGGTTGGGATCCACAGCGCCCCATAGCCCTAAGATTACCGGAGACGAGGTGAACCAACGACGGTGCTGGCGAGAGGCAAAGGAACCCTACTTTTTTAGGGGCGGAGGCGGTTGTGTCTTTTGTTAAGCGACAAAATATTGTTCACTCTCTATTACTTTGCATTCTCAAGATATTAGAGCATCTACAATCAGGATTGTCGAATCTAGAACCATGTATGTTCGTTGGCGCGTCTACTCGTACTGACTATGTAGAGAACATTTCGCTGACACCACAATCACAATCCATAGTAATCGCACATCCAACATAGATATAGTTCATAAAAAAGGGCTGCCCGAGTTCATACTAAACTAAACTATTAGATAAAACAAGTAATTAAACATATGGAGGATGACCGGAGTTCACCATTTTCTCGTAGGTCGCTTCCCCTTGGGGTCTCGGAAACGACGGTTGTCCTTGGCCTAGGCGTTGGCGACTGGTTTTTCTTTTGGTTTTTCATTTTTTTTGTTTCTTCATGTTGTTTTTTATTTTCCATTTATTTTTATTTTCCTTTTTCTTTTTCATTTTGTGAACACCTTTCAAATATGTGAACATTTTCTAAATCATCAAAATTTTAAAAAATCATGAATAATTTTTCACAAATTAATATTTTGAAAATATTGAACATTCTTTAAATTCGCGAACATTTTTATAAGTCAATATTTTTTTGGAATCATGGACATTTTTCAAAATCGCTAACATTTTATGAATTGGTGAACATTTTTAAAAATTCATGACCATTTTCCACATTCATGAACAATTTTTTTCGAACTCACAAACATATTTTGAATTTGAGAAGAAAATTATATTCATGAATATTTTGAAATTTTATGTTGTCCCTTTGCCTCGGGACCTATATTTCGCATAAAGTGAGATGGTAGCTCCCCTCGCCCGAATCATCTATGCAGCGTGCAGCCTATGGACTGGCCCAATAGCGTGTTGCTCGGTCGGTTGGTCGTCTGTCTATTGGCTGATGTGTTTGTTCATTGTTTTCTTTATATTTTTGTTTGTCTTATTTCTTCATTGGTTTCCCATAATTTTCTTTTTTTTCATCGTTATACCTTGGTTTTTTGTGTTTACTTTGTTTTCCTTTGGTTACTTTTTATTTCTTTCTTGGTTTTCATCTGGGTTTCTTTCTCGTTTTATTCATTTTTATTTGTTTCTTTCATGGTTTCATCGCTTTTCTTTATTTCTTTTTGAGTTTTCAATGTTTTCTATTTTATTGCACTTGTTTTCATTCTACATTTTTTGTATACATCAAGAACATTTTCTAATACGTGGTTTACATTTTTAAAATACATGACTAATATTTTTTTCAGATAAATGTTTCGATATCTATTGTTTACACATTTGGAAGTGCAAACAAAAGTAAAAAAGGAAAGCAAAAGCCAAAACAAAATAACTTGAAAAAGAAAGAAAAAACGAGTTTGCGGCCTCCTGCAAGTTGGGTCGGCCCAGTATGGCGCTTCCTCAGGCGAAGCTAGCATCCAACTCCGTCGATAGAGACCCCTTGTAGAGGTCACTTCAACTTTCTCACAACTTGGTACCTTTTCCATATTTTTCATAGATTCGTTTTTTTAATATCTCTTGAATTGTGCGTTCAAATCCTGAATCATTTTCATAGTTGTATTTCTTGCGTCAAGATCTTCAGAACTACATCATGTATTAACAGGTTTTAGAAAATTTGTTTTCGAGTAAAAACACGGAAAGAAAACCCGGAGCCGGAAGCATGTTCTTTCTTTCTGTTAAAATAAATTCAAGGCATATCATTGATCATCCGAAGACCAAGCAATCACATAAGCATGACACCGAGATTTGTTAACGAGGTTCACCGATATGGCTACATCCTCGGGAGCTGACTATGGGCGTTCTTCCCCATGACACTGCTATAATACCGCATCTGGTCGCCCTGGACACCGGCACATGCCGCCGGCTTCCCCTGCGTTCCGGTGCTATTATGTTGGCATAGGTTACACCGTGTGTTTACCCCCACTATATATGAGAGGCCTAGGATACAAGTGTCCTACTAGGACACGACTCCATATCCTATCTAAAAACACAATACAACTACAAGTCCAACTGTAACCTATCTCGTACACAATATTCGACACAATTTTAACAAACTCCACCTTGACGAATATTCTTCACCACCTTGAATTCGTCAATGCGTCAGACTTCCATATACATTGGACTTGAGCTTATCCCATGAGCATCGCTGCTACTCTAAAGACTCCATGTGACTCCACCTGCAACTTGTAGTCCCTTCTTTTCTTAACCATAGTCAACACTCGAGCAAAATTAAGTTTCTTGTCACTCTAGTTTGTGCTCCCAACTTTCAGAGTATCAGTCCAACGCCATCACACATTGATCACTGACATGCGTGAAAGTGAACAACTCACATATTAGGTGTCACACATAAGAGTTACCTAAACTCAACATCACCGCTCTTCCTTGTCCGTCTGTCTGAAACTTGAAGTAATTTCACCGTTGCTTGTAGTCATCCCGAGTCAAATTTGCAGTTGTCTCACCACATGTATGACCACTAGAGCCCTGGCTCGCCTTCATGTCCCGTGCGTACCGCACGCCTCGCCGCTATTACCGCGTCGAGCCTCCGTTGTCCTGGTCAAGTCTCAAGGGTCGCGAACCCACACCACTCAACCTCCACTGCAGAGTATCACCGATCATCACCGACCGATGACGAGTCTCACGCTTCCATCAAACCACTGGGCTCCAGTCCGAACTGTATGTCGCTCGCTTTTCTCCCTTGTTGAATAGGCTTTGATTCCCTGGATCCTTACATCGTAGCCCCTCAATCCAGCTCCACCTTCAACATGACTCTATGATGGTTGTACGTGCCACCCCACGCCCCCTCGACTCTAAGATCTCATGTGCACTGTCTTGAATCAACCCCGCAACATAGTCTTGTCGAAGCCACACAAGCCCTCGGGCATGTGCCATGTGTTTCCACGCCCCAGAAGTCGGTCACCATCAGCATCACGCTTCTATGTCGTCATCGCCAATTCCACCACCGTCTTCTATATCGACTGACTCGCGTCGATCCGTCAGACTGTCTAGTCCGACCCAGGCTCCCAAATCAATCCATGAATTTCCATCCATCACATGATAATTTCATCTCAGCTGACATGACTTACTGCAACGCCTTCAAGCATCCCTGATACGCCAACAAATCTTTCATCCTTGTGTGCCGTAACCCAAGGTTTTCAGTTTCAGTGAACTTCTTCACCTCAAACCTGGTACCCGTTGGCACCATGGTCCTTTGTACGGCCGACCCTGCAAAAAATTATTCGAGCTTTGCACGTGATGCCCCAAGTACACGAACAGAACCTTCGGTCATCCGCGTACTACTGGCAATTCCAACCAAAAAATCATTTTGGTCATCACGTGTAGTGCTCCTGTCTTGGCTCAACTCTTGGTTGCTAAGCTAAGGGCATGTACAATGGTTGATAAGATAGTCTTATCTTAAGTTTTGCATGTAATTTAGAAATGACAAGGAAAAATGTCTACAATGGGTCATCTCTTAGCCTTATCTTCAATAACTAGCAATTTCTAAAAATGTGGTGAGACATATTATGCTAAGAGATTATCTCTTGTCTTATCTTAAATAAGAGAAGACAAGCCTTCTCTTATGAGTTCTCTCTCCTCCACCTCATAATTTATCCTACGTGGCACTCCTAAGATAGCACCATTGTACATGCCCTAATTGATTTGCCTCGCCTCAGCCTTTCCAATGGATTTCTGTCTTGGCTCAACTCTCAATGGATTTATTCCTTCCACCGAATCGATCTGTTGTTGGCCTTTGTCTCGCCTCGTCCCCTGCCCGACTGCCTCCTTGTGCACGGTTCCAGCAGTCCGGCTGGGCTACGAGTTCTCCCGGGACTAGGTCCCTTTTGTTTCCAAAACAAATCTCTGTCTACGGCTGTTTCTAGTTGCACCACACATCGTCAGAATCTGCACGCCCCGCGACCGATCGAGTCCACGCTCAGCCGCCCCCTGCACACGTCCTTCCGCCGCTTGGGCCTGTACGCGTTGTCGCTGGCCACGTCCCAACCTC